GGAGGAGGAGGAGGAGGAGGAGGAGGGAGCAGGAGGGGCAGGAGGAGCAGGATGAATAATATAACGGTGATGAGGAGGGATCTGGGCGGGTATCAGGATGGCATGGGCGAGCAGGTTTCAGATGATCGTTTGACCGCGTGTAGCAGGATGAGCGGGAAATTCAAAACGAGCTTGGCCCCGAGCTTCTTCCTGTTTTCTGCCCCCCCCTGTGCTACAGCTCGCCACCTCGCCTTCTCTCGCCTCTGTCTGGTCGCAGGAGGCGAGGAACCTGCGCAAGCAGCTGTCTGCATACGCGACCGAGATAGACAATTTGCGGGCCAATCAGCGCGAGAAGGCCCCCAGGAGGAGGGGGAGAAGGAGGGAACGGAACCGTAACGTGCAGGGATTGAGAAAAGGGGAGAAAGAGGGAGAAAGAGGATGGATGTGGGTGATGATTACGATGGTGGTTAGGCTAGTGCTTATGTTACGAGTGATTTTGGTGGTGACGATGGCGGTAATTCTGTCGAGGGTTATCGTGATCGTACTGGCGATGGTGATGACAGTGGTGATGATGAACACGACGATCATGTTCATTGATGATGGGGGATGACGACCTGATGGAGAAACGGGTTCGGTGGAGGAGTTTGCGGAGGCCTCTTCCCCCTCCCCCATGCCTTCCTGTGCCTGTCAGTCTGTCTGCTTGTCTGTTGCCTGTCAGTCAGTCGGTCAGTCAGTCAGTCAGTCTGTCTGTCAGTCTGTCTGTCTCCCTGTCTTTCTGTTTCTCTGTCTCTCTCTCCCTCGCTCTCTCTTTCTCGTTCGCATTTTACTAGTGTTTTGGTAGTCTTTGTTTTCTTCCCAACCAGCCTGTGGTGTTGGGTCCTCGTTTTGAAGCGACGGTCCCCGCGTTCCTCCGCACTCCTCTCCTCCCTCCTCACCCTCCTCCTTCCTTCCTGCGTTTCACCAGCCAGTGCAATGTTTCGTGGGCCCATAGGGAGCTCCATCGAAGGTCCCAATGGGACCGCCCGCATGCGTTCCCAAAACCCAAGTTGGCACACCCCTTTTCGTGGCCTCATAGGGAGCTCCACCGAACCTCCCAATCGGACCGCCCGCATGCATCCCCAAAGCCCAATTTGGCACACCCCTCAAACGTTTCGTGGCCCTATAGCGAGCTCTACCGACGCCCCCAGTGGGACCGCTCGCACGCGTCCCCCAAACCCAATTTGGCACACCCCTCACACGTTTCGTGGCCCATAGGGAGCTCCACTGAAGCCCCCAGTGGGACCGCTCGCACGCGTCCCCCAAACCCATGTCGTCACACCCCTTCACATTTCGTGGCCCCATGGGGTGCTCCACCGAGGCCCCCAGTGGGACCGCTCGCACGCGTCCCCCAAACCCATGTCGTCACACCCCTCACACGTTTCGTGGTCCCACTGGGAGCTCCACCGAAGCCCCCAGTGGAACCGCCCGCATGCGTCCCCCAAGCTCATTTTGGCACACCCCTTCACGTTTCGTGGCCCAATAGGGAGCTCCACAGAAGGCGCCAGTGCCACCGCCCGCATCCGTCACCCACACCCATGTCGTCACACCCCTCACACGTTTCGTGGTCCCATATGGAGCTCCAACGAAGGCCCTGGTGCCACCGCCCGCATGCGTCACCCACGCCCATTCCGGCACACCCCTCACGCGTTTCGTGGCCGCATAGGGATCTCCACCGAAGGCGCCAGTGGCTGCGTCCGCATGCGCCCACCGCACCCATTTCGGCACACCCATCACACGTTTCGCGGCCCCTTGGGGAGCTCCACCGACGGCCCTAGTGGCTGCGTTCGCATGCGTCCACCGCACATATTTCGGCACACCTCTCACGTGTTTCGTGGTCCCATGGGGAATTCCACCGACGGCCCCAGTGGCTGCTTTCGCATGCGCCCACCGGACAACTTTTGGCACACCTCTCGCACGTTTCGTGACCCTCTAGGGAGCTCCTCTGAATGCGGTGCATACAACGACGGTGTTCACAACTGCATATGGTTGGGTCCTTCACCAGGCTAATTATGTTTCATGTTCTTTACTTTTTATTATATATGTGTGCTGTGTTTCAACAACGGGAAGCAGAGTCCCATGGTGAGCGTGCCGCACCCTCATGCCGCTGGCATTTGGGCTCAAGTGGAGAGGTGGGGCAGTCCGATGTCCATCGGTGGCTGGCTTGCGACGGAGCTGCTCCAGGGGGCGTCCCAGGCCGCGCTCGTCTGGGCAGCCCGCGAGCAGTGCCCTGACTGCCGCTGCGCCCCAGCCTCACTTGCAGTGCTGGGCAGGAGGCGACTCGCCTCGACTGCCCCGAGGCGGCAGGCCGCTGGCCTCTGTCGGCGGTCCTCCTCGCCCTGATCGTCGGGGCCAGGATCGGCGCAGCATCGGTCTGGGCCGCCGCCCCCGCCGCCGCCGCCAGGTCGGCGCTGCCCCCGCCGCCGAGGAACGCTGCCGCCCGCCTCGCGGCCGACGCCGACGAGCTGGCGCGAGCTCAGGCGGCCGCAGTGAGGGCCCGCCAGCAGGCCTCTTTGTGAGATGTCGGCCGCAGCTGCGGCCGCGGCCGGGCATCCACTGGCGGTGCTCGGCCTGATTGAGGGCGCTTTCGTGCTGATCAGGGATCGCGTGGACGGCGCCAGAATATGGCATGAACGGCCGATTCTTTGTTTTCAGCCGACGGCGCCGTTCGGCTCGGGGATCCGTGCCCCAGACGGGCACGACTACGTGGAGATCATCAACGTGAACGGCATGGACGTGGTCGAGTATGCAGTGCCAGCAGGTGCGGCACAGGGCGGCCAGGCTCGAGCCACAGGAGCCGATCAGCTGTATCGATTTCGAGCGCTACCCTTTCATGCGGAGGTCGCCGCCGCGGCAGCGTCGACACGTACTGTTTTCGGTCTCGCCGCAGGCCCAGCCGTCATTCTCAACACTGCTGGGCGCGTGTTGGTTCCTCCGGCCGGAGCCGCTCCTGCTGTGGGCGGCGCTCTGGCTGGGGCGCCTGCAGCTGACGGTGGGGGCCTTGCTGGGCTAGCGGCCGCCCTTGGCGGTGGGGCCGCCGCCCCGGCCGCGGCGGCCGGGCCGCGGCGGCCGGAGCCCTGGTCCCAGCAGCCCCGCCTGCGGCCGTCGGTGGTGGTGGTGGAGCCTTGGTGCCAACCGCGGCTTGGTCCCTGCTGTCGGAGCCCCGGCCGTTGCCTTGGGGGCTGCGGGCGCCGCCGCGGCCGCCGCGCACGGTGGGGGCGGCGCCGCTGCACCTGTGAGTGCTGCCGTCCTAGCCGGCGCCATGGCCGCGATTGGAGGAGCACCAGGCGGCGACGCCACGGTGCAGAACATCGTGCCTGACCAGCAAGTGGTGAGGTTCATCGACTTCCGCTCGGGCGTCGTGCGGCTCCACGAGCTGCCGTGGGGCGACTGGCCCTTGAAAGAGCCCCGCGCTCTTGTATGGGTGCTCGACTTCATCTGCCGCAGCGGTGGGGCGCCTCTCGGTCGCCGTGCCAAATGGAAGGCAGAGGCTTTCTTGGAGGCCGAAGACCCATGTGTTGCCAAGCACTTCCTGTGCTGCCAGCTGCTGGAGTACTGCGTGTGCTGTGATCAGCTGCGCGCGACGAACCTCGCGTCCATGGAACTGGTCGGGCGAACCATTCAGACCCAGGAGGAGCTGTATCGCGGCAGGTTCGCCCCATCGACCGAGTGCGCCTCGGAGGCTGCGCTGATGTCGGGGGCCCAGGACACGATCGGTAACCGGTGCGTCGCGCTTGCCCTCCGCGACTGGCTCGCGGCGGAGAGGGGCCAGCCGAGGAGCGACGCAAGGCGAGGGGGGGGGCGAGCCTTGGCAGCCGGCCGCGTCACTGACGATGGCGGCCGCGGCGGTCGTGGTCGTGGCGGCCGTGGAGGCCGCGGCCGAGGCGGCGGGGGCGGCCGCCGTGCCGCCCAGGAGACCCATGATTGAGAAGGGGTGGCGGGGGGCAGATGGGCCAGCGCCATTCCCGGGGCCCCCTGGCGGCCGCCGCCGCCTGCCTTCGGCGGCCGCGATGCTCCCGGCGCCGCGATCTGTTCCCGCTGCCGATCGAACCAGCCGAATTTACGCGAGGGGCGAGGTCAGCTGGCCGTCGATCGGCCCGTCGCAGCGACTTCGCAGTGCATCGCGCCGAGCGAGTAGGGCGGTCACTTCTGCACTGGATTGATTTTATGTTTTTTTTTGTTTGCCCTCGCCCTGTCCAGCAGCGCGCGACGGGCTGCGCCAGGCCGTCATGCCTGTATGGGTCTGGCGCCGCCGCGTCATCCCCTTATGCGCGCGACCGAGTCGCGTGGCCTGAATGAGGGGCCCTCAATTGTTTGTCTTCCGGACTGGCGCAGCCGCAGGACAATGCTTGGCTGGAGGGGTGGCGGAGCCATGTGCTGCGAGATTGGCAGTCTGCGGCAGACCTGGCGAGATCCGAGTGACCCAAGGGGCCCTACTGCGATCCTGCCCTGGTTCGTGACGAGCACACGTATGGGCAGTTTTTGATGCATATGTACCGCAGACATGTGATGGCAATTTCGGCGCGCGTTCCTCGACAATCCAGCTACTCGGCTGCCTTCTGCCGCGGCCTTCGGTGCCATTGATGCGCCGGAACCTGGCGTGCATCTTTCCTCGTGCGACCTGGGGTGCGCCATCTACCGCGCGCGGCCCCTGGGCGGCATGGGGGCGATGTTCGGGCCGCCTTCGGTCGGGGCAGGGGTGCTTCAGGAGGCGGGCATGGTCGACCTGGACGTGGGCCCGTCCGCCATGGTCAGCCCGCAGGTCGTGGCCATCCCGATGGGCTTCTCGTGGGCGCTGCACCTGCGCCAGTCAGCTGCCCGCGCCGTGCTCGCTGATAACGGGCGCGAGAGGTCCATGACGGCCCTGGGCGGCCAGTCCGGAGTGGTCGTCGCCGGCGGCGCGTCTATCGGCTTTGGCGCCTGCGTGGACAGCATCCTGGTCTTCGGCGCCGACAGGGCCGCGGTCGACCGCGCCGTGGTCTTTCTGGTCTCGAAGTTCAGGGCTCGAGGGCTGCCGGTCCACGAGATCGAGCCCGCCTCGCTGGGCGCCGAGTTCTTGGGCATGTCGCTGAAGGGCGGCAAGATCATTCGCGTCGGGCCCCGGAACGTTTGGAGGCTCTGCGCGGCGATTTCGGTTCTTGAGGCGAGGCTGGTGTTCGGGCTGTGCGATGGGAACGGTGCGGGCCGCGTCGCCTGGACGTCCATGTTGCGCCGCGAGGTGCTGACGGTGCTCCGCAGCTCCTACAGTTTTGACGCGGCCTGCGGCGAGAGGCAAGGGCGGATCTGGCAGTCCATCCGGGAGGAGCTGGTCACCATCAGGGACTTGCTGCCTATCTTGGCTTGCGACCGGTCGGCGGTGTGGCGCGACGCGCTGACCGTCTGCGATGCGTCGCCCATTGGCCTCGGCGCGATGCGACGCCGTGCCCCTGATGCCGCCTGTGCAGCCATGGGCCGAGGGTCGGGGCGGTGGCGCTGCAAGGTTGACGATTGGCACCAGGCCCGCGTGCGCTCGCTCCAGGAGACGGGCATCAGTACTGCTACTAGAGCTTTGCAGGAAATCGTGACCTCGAGAACGGGCGGTCCAAGCCCTGCTGGCGCTACTCCGACGACCCCATCCTGCGCGGCAGCTGGGGGCTCTCCGGTAGAGGACTCTGCTGGCTTCCACGGGAACTCGATCTATGGCTTCATGGGGGCCCACCAGGGCCAGCAGGGCTCGGGGGGCTACTGCGTGGACCCGCGGCGCGGGCCCGCGCGGGGCGCTCGCAGGGGGCACGGGGCGCTCGGGAGCTCGACGAGGTGCCCGCCCATGTCGCTCGGGGGCCCGCATGGAACAGTGTCTCCGCCCAGTCGGTAACGCTAGGTGCTAACATTTAGTGCCTGGAGGGTGGGCGCTCGTCGCGTCGCGTCGGCATCAGCTTCGAAATAGGAAGGCACGTGATAGACGTATCGTCGCTCTCGTCGATGACCTTGCAGTCCCACTCGCATGCGGAGAGGGGGGGGGGGGGGGGCTCGGGCCCGCCCCTGGAGGTCGTGCGTGAACTAGGTGTGCGCCCTATCCCTCGCCGCGGGCTCGAGGCTATGCGCGAGGTGCGTCGCCTCAGAGAGGAACCCCTCCGACTCCCGCAGCCGTGGCAAGCGGGGCTGGTTCAGTGGCCACCGCCATTTCAGCAATGCTTGCATTTTGCGCCACGAGCGTGCTTCTGGCCCTTCTGCTGGCGCTACTGGCGGGGGCCGCAGGGGCGATGCCGCTCCGCGCCGTGCCCTCCAAGTCGGCGCGCGCGCGCGGGCCCAGCGCGCGGCGGCGGCGGCTGCGGGCAGGTCGACTTCGCGTTCGCTGACGCTCCTGGAGCAGCTGGCTGTGCGTCCGTCGACGGAGGCCTTCTACGGCCAGATCCTGCAGTCTTTCACGGACAACTGCCCGCCGCCGGAACTGGAGCAGCATGGGCCAATTCGACGCCCTGCTGGACGACTACTTCGGCCAGAGGTGCCTGGCAGGGGCGGCGGTCAACATCGAGTCGCAGACAGTGGCGGCCCTGGCGCGCTTCGCCCCCGGCCTTCACGGCAGGTGAGTGCGCGACTGCCGGATGCCTCACTGGCTACGCAGGCCTGGCGGCTGAGGACGCCAGTACTCGCGCGGCTGCCGATCCCGAGGGCAGTGATGTTCGCCTTGGCAGTTGTGTTGATAGCGTGGCAGCATGCGCCGATGGCGGCGTGGTTGGCGATCGCTCCTGCGGCCTACCAGTTCTAGGGCTTGCTGCTCCACCGATCGGGCCTCTCCCAGCCGGGCAAGACGGGCTCCTTTGGCGAAGCGATCATGTTCGTCCTCGACCTGTACTGGGTGCTGGTGCTGATGGCGCTCCGGATGAGAGGCGGGTCGGGCACGCCGCTCTGGGACTTCACGCTGTCGGGCCTCAGCGAGATATTTGGGCCAGCGGCGGCTGCGCTGGGCATCTCCAAGCTTTGCCCCCGCCTGTATGTGATGAGGTATGGGGGATGAGCGACGACCTCTTGGCGCAGAGGAGGGCGCAGGAGCAGGTGTTCCGCCGCGGTCGCTGGGCCGCCCCATCCTCGATGAGGAGATATGCGACGGAGACGGCCTTCCCGCGCGTCCGGACGCGTGAGCGCTGGGCGACGTCGTCGCGCAGAAGTTCTGCCTGCCACTCGAGAAAGGCTTCGTCGGCGCCGGCCCGCCCGATCGCTTAGGTGCCAGCGCGGCGGGCGGCGGTCCTCCTTGCCGGGCCCCCGGCAGGCGCTGACGCCGCCGCGAGCAGCGGGACCTCTTGGGATGTCTTGGGGGTCTCTTGGCGGTGCTGGGGGGCTCTTGGGCGTCTTGGGTGCCTCGGGGGGGCCCCTTGGGACCGCTTGGGGTCCTCCTTATGGGGGCCTCTTTGGGGCCCCTGCGGGCCATCTTGGGGCCATCTTGGGGCCTCTTGGGGCCTCCTGGGCACTTCTTGGGGCCGTCCTGGACGACGTCGATCAAAGAAGGGGGGTTCCCTAGTTAGCGCGTTCTTTGGGGCGCGCTCTTGGTCGCTCTTGGGGCCGTCTTGAGGCTCTCTTTGGCCCCTCTTGGGGCCCTCTTGGGCCATCTTGGAGCCATCTTGGAGCCATCTTGAGGCCTCGGATGGCCATCGGAAGCGAAAAGACGAGAAGGCAACCATCATTGTTTTTCTTAGGTTTTGGATGGATTTTGGTCTTTCGGGGGCCTCTTTGGATGTCTCGGAGGCCTCTTGGAACCGTCTTGGAACCCTCTTGGATCCTTTTGAAGCATCTTGGAAGCCATCTTGAGGCATCTCGGGCTATCGTGAGCCATCTTGGAGGTCATCTTGGGCTCTCAGAGGCCCTCCTGGGGCCGTCTTGGGCCATCTTGGACGCTCTGACCGCTCGCGACCGCCCCCGTCCAGGTCCAGGGGAGGGGGTGGGGGGGAAGGGTAAAACCCTTCCCAACAGAGAAGGAGGGGGTTGGACGAGGAAACTCTCTAGACCACCTACGCCCAGAGAGCTGGTGGGATTCTCGAGCGTTCTGGGACCCTTTGAGGTCATGTTCGGCCGCCACCTGGCACCATGTGGTCGCCCTCTTGGCGCCGTGGGCCTTCTCTGGGGTCTGTGTTGTCGCTCTTCTTGGGTTTTGTTCGCGTCTTCTTGGAGGACCTCCTGGAGCCGTTTTGACGCCAGTCTTGGAACCTGTCCTTATTTTTCTTTGGCTTTCTTCCAGGGTCTGTTCGGGGCCTCTTCGCCCCGCCCAGCCGAAGATGCCCCGGAGAGCGCCCCAAGACAGCCCACGAGAATTCCAAGACGGCCCAAAAGGCGCCCAAGAGGGCGCCTAAGAGCGCCTCCAGAGGGCCTCAAGACGGCCCGAAAGACTCCTTGAGACCGCCAGCTCGCTCCACGACGCCCCAACAGGCCCAAAGAGACCCCACAAGGCCTGTAAACGGCCCCCGAAAGGCCCCAGAGACTTTCAAAGGTACCCCCAAGAGTCCCAAGAGTCTTCCCAAGGGACCCCAGCAGGCATCCAAGAGAGCTCAGACCCACAACCCAGCCACACTGGGGGGTCGGGCGCACGGCAGCCTCGGACGGTCCAAGAAGCCTCGCGTACCATTCCAAGATGGCCCGATTGGCCTCGCCAGGAATGGTTTTGCTGCTGCTCCTGCTCTTCTCCTGCTGCTCCTGCTCCTCTCCTTTGTCGACCCTGATCGTTCTGCTGTTGCTGCTGCGTGCTGCTGCTTCTCATCGAGAATGGCGATGGTGACGAGGGGCAGGGAGTTGGAGAACACGACGTTTCGTCCTCAATCAATCCCCAGTTAACCCTCAGTAGATGGGGATCATTGGCATCTACGGCAACTTTCTCCCACCCCTTGGGTATCACAACGAAATTTGTGCATACACCCAACCAGAACCTAAGCGCGCGAGGCGCCCGCGTGGTTCTAGTATATTTTTTAATGCACATAGATCTCTGTCAAGGCCCGCCTCGGCAATCTGGACGAGTGTCCAGCTTCCTCTCGATGGGAGAGTGACATCGTCCATGCCCCAGGGCTCGGGCTCTCGTCCGGCCTGGGTCTTTCGATGTGGGTGGGTCGGTGTGAGTCCGATCTTGCTCGAGGTGGATGTAGCATTCCTCCTATCTTTTGCAGCGCCATGCTGGGTACAGAGGGTACAGTCAACCATCATAGTAAGGACGGGGCAACTTTCCGAGGCTACCCTTGCATCCTTGCCCCTTCGGGATTTGGCATCCTTCGGCATTATGCTCCGCTCCGCACAGAAAACGTCAACATGGCGTTCCAAGGCCCTTGCATCCTTATCGCGTATCCTTGCTATCCTCGTCGAGTGTAACTCCCAGGATGGTCAAGTTGTTTCATTAAGCATCGGCGCTGGTAGATTCGTGCCCGAAGCCTGGCCCAATCCAGCACAATCCCGCTTGATCCCGTTGAATTTGGCTCGGTCCTGCTTCATTCGGTCCAGTCGGGCTTAGTCATTGACTCAATCCGGCTTGATCGCCGTTTCATCGGGCTTACTCGTCCTCAGTATTTCTTGCGGAGGCTTCCCATGAGTTGCCTCCTCAGTCTTTGCAGTCCCGCTTGGTGCTACTTTCCCTCTTCGAGGAGCTCGAGCTCATGGAGCACGCTGTGCGCCTGGAGGAGGCGGAGGGCCGGCTGACGCCGCGCAGTGCGGAACTCCTGGGGTGATGTCAATGGGATTGCCAGTCACCTCTGATGGGATCTGGGCCCAGGGAAGGAAGGTGACGGAGAGGAGGAGGAGGAGGAGGAGGAGGAGGAGGAGGAGGAGGAGGAGGAGGAGGAGGAGGAGGAGGAGGAGGGGGGGGGGAGGAGGAGGAGGAGGAGGAGGAGGAGGAGGAGGAGGAGGAGGAGGAGGAGGAGGAGGAGGAGGAGGAGGGACGGTGGCTGCGGGCCTTTTGCTCGAACCCCCCTTGATATTTGTTTTGCCTCCGAGGAGAGGCTGATAGGAGACGCGAGGGAACGAAGCGAGATCT